GGGTTTGGGGCTGAATCCAACAAAAGGGTTATTTATGTCACAGGGGAAGGTGAGACGCAGTAAACTGAGGACCAAAATTTAAAAAAAGGAAAAGTAAACGCTTGCACTCAAATGACTGGTTATAGAGTAATCATGGAAATGTTAAACAGGTCACTTATTCTTTAAGCGCTCAAAGAAACGATAATCTTTCTTAAATCCAACACAATACCGCCGTGTTATCGCTGAGCAGTACCGGTTCATTAACTCAACTTCAGACTAACACTCTAACATTTTCCTAACATACATCCATCCTTATTGCAGCTCCTTTGGAAACTGTGACATGTGATGGAGCAGCTTCTAGAAACTTCACTGTTATGTGGGACCATGGAAGCGTCACCTGCAAGGATCAGTACTACTCTATCACCTGGAACTCTACTGTTAAGTGGTCAGCTGATGAAGGTAATGGAACACTATACTACTGGATAAATTATGTTGATAGATAGATAAATAGACAGATATGTTGACAGGTAGACAGACAGATATGTAGGCATATAGACATAGATAAGAACATAGATTGATAGATACATAAACAGAAACACACAGCACCGTGTACGCAAAGATGAATAGAAAAACAGCCACGTTAGGAAATGAAATGAAATCTTAACATTACTAACTCGTCAATGTCAGAAACTTACAATTTAATGTTATTTCTTATTGTTGTTTTCCTTTTTATCGATAAACAGGTTGATAGTTTGACATAAGATAGCCTGATATGTTAATACACGGATAATTAGGTAAGTAAGGAGGTAGGCAGATAGATAGGTAGATAGAAAACTAGATAAATAAATAGACAAACCAAGGAGAATTAGGCACATAGACAGAAGGATAGAGAGACAAATAACCAATTAAATCTTAAGTCGGATAAACAGAGATCTCGACAGATAGATAGGCAGAGATAGTTTTCTTGAACGATGCTTCTCTCCTCAGACCAAGGTGAAACAGAGGTTCCCGGAAACGAAACGGCGTACACCTTCCTCGACGCGACGCCCTACACTGAGTACTTCGTGTGTGTGGCCATCACGAAGGACGCGGAGGGGGGCGTGTGCTGTGACCACACCACGGCGGAGGATGGTGAGAATTTGTCAGTCAGTGGTGCTGGTTTCGCTTTGGTTTCAGTGCTTTTCCATTGCGTGGGTATGGAATGGCCAATACATATATAAATCTTATATATACATACATAGGTACACACACACACACACACACACACACACACACACACACACACACACACACACACACATATATATATATATATATATATATATATATATATATATATGTATACATATATGTGTGTGCGTTTTTGTGTGTGTACACATTTATTTATACACACACACACACACACACACACACACACATATATATATATATATATATATATATATATATATATATATATATATAATGAATTTACGTACACATATATATATATATATATATATATATATTATATATATATATATATATATGTATGTATATATATATATATATATATATATATATATATATACATATACATATATATATATATATATAAATATATATATATATATATATATATATATGTGTGTGTGTGTGTGTGTGTGTGTGTGTGTGTGTGCATGTACACACACACATATATATAAAATTATACGCACACACCTACACAAAGTACAACTTCCATTTATACCTAACCGGCAACCCCCCCGCTGGCAGGGCCCTCGGCGCCAGTCATCAAGGAAATTTCCTCCTTCCGCGGAGACGTTCGCATCAGCTGGTCGCCTCCTGAAGAAGCCAATGGCGTTGTGAGGAACTACAATGTTTCTTGGGAGAGTGAGGACGCCGATCCGGGGACTCAGGAGTTTGATGACGTAACTGAAGGATTGGTTGTCGGTCTAGAAAAGTGCCATACTTACACCTTCTCTGTGGCCGCTGGCACGATCGTCTGGGGGAATAAATCGGAGACCAGAGAGGTGGAGGTTGTTAATTACGGTAAGTTTATCTCGTGCCTTGCTGTTGTAGTGACGAAGTGTCATTTTTCCTGCCCTTTCATTCTTCTTGTCGCCCAGTTACCGTTTGTTGCTGAAAGTCCATCTATTTCTCTCATTGAATGTCTTCCGCTTTCCTACCCACCTACTACTTCCCTTTCCCTTTCCACCCATTCTGGTTGTTTTCTTATCATACTGTGTATTAAGAATTCTCTATCTCTGTGCTTTAGTGTGGTCTTTATTGCTTCTCGTTCTGTTCCTGTTCTTCCCACCATTTAATCAAACGCCTCCATAGCAATGCGATTCTATGGCTTATATTTCTTCCATGGCTTTGGTTTTGATTTTGATTTTTATCCATATAACGTATATATGTATGTACAGCGTATTTTATATTCTTACCCATTTAACGAAACCGACTATAGAAACGGTTTTAATGCTTCGTTATTTTTTTGAGATGGTTCTTTTCGATAAAGGAAATCCTTGCTAATGTGTTCCCTTTTATTCTAGATCACACCAGCCATCCTCACTAACGCTACTTTTTAGGTAGTAAAATTGTTGCATTTATACAAATCCCTTTTCGGTGTTAACATATACTTTGTTATTCATTGAGATTTTTCGCTTTATCTTTAGACCTTGTTATTATTTTTTTTCTTCTAATATTGTGTGTTTACTATCAATACTTTATCTTTTGCGTATAATCTATTGTCGCTGTTTCTGCCCCTATGCTGAAGCCTATCATATTTTCTAATAATCTTTTCAAACAGGGAGACAGGGTCTGGTGATTACATACTCTTAATGAATACCTTTATTAACATCCCGTCGTTCTGCCTTCTACCATCAGCGAAGCTATTTTATTCCAACATACCTTTTTTTGCCTGTCATTCTACTTGGTCGTTATATGAAAATTTCATTTTTATCTTATAAGAAGTTTTTATTAGCCAATGAAACGATGATGCAAGTCTTGATTAGTCTTCGTTAAACTTAAATGGAATTCCTACTTGCTCTTAAAATAAAAATGAAAAAGCTCTCTTGTCACCTCTTGCCTTATGCCATTTAATGTCATTTTCATCACTCTCCTTATTCTTCGCTTTCGTTCAAAATACTGATTTATTGTTTATTTGGAAGTCCTTGTTTTCTTTTGTATTGTGTTGGAGATAGGTTAACATGTTTCGTAACTTTATCTTTCTTTTACAAGTTGTTTGTCACCTTGCTTATTTCGCCTTTGCTTAACCTTTTCACGACATTCCACTTTCTGCATTCACTTTATCCTCTGTTGCTTTTCCTACGGTCATCCTCGCCACAGCCCTTTCCACTGCTCTCTTTAATATGGCTGAGACGTCTTTTCTTACATTTCTTACATGCGCTTGGACCTGTACGGAATTCATATTTTTATTCAGGCATGTTACTTATTTCCTTTTATACCTTGGCCCTTCCATGTCCACAGCCGACGTGGATGGTGTCGCTGCCACATGTTTTACTACTATACGTTTGTTTTATTAACACCGTTCTGCAGTACTGAGCTCACCACCCAGGGGCCAGATTTAAGAACATACGATCGTATAACATTTACCAGCGATGGCAAAGCGGGATCCACGAAGAAATGGCAATTTGGATCAGCTGAGTTACAATCGTAAATCGACTCATTCTTATGGTTCCACCAATTCCACCAATCAGCGAGCAGTATACGTAATCTTTAGGTTCCTTCGACCAATCACGTAACAAGTAAACAGAACTAGACAGCGAGAGTTTAAAAATAATTGTAACAGCTAAAACACCACTTAAGCACGTAGAAAAACATTTATTTGATTTTATCCATATGCGTTATACATTTACCGTATAAGTAGGAACCACTACAAACTTAAATTAATATATTATTGTTTACCTCTAACCAAAGACAGTCCACAAGGTTTTTATTTACTTATTTATTTTTCATCATTGAACAATGAACCGGACCAAACATTTTTTTATTCATCACCATCTGTCATTAAAGGAAATATTTCAAGCTCAATCTTGCCCCATGCGCTTTGGAATTCATTGTCAAAATGCCGACAGACAGAAATTGCTATACTCATTTAGCGTTGGTATCGCTAGTTTATATATCGGCAAAGTAGTTTTTTCTTTAGAATTTCTAATAATCATGTCAGAGAAGAAGAATTCTTTAAGAGTTGACTTTTTCTATTCATTCCATGCATTCTAGTATAATATAGGCCTATATTTTTACGAGAATTCGTGTGGATTCTATTTTTGCTAGTTTTATGTGAAATATGCATTTCTTCGCCATGTCCATATTGTGATATATGTTTATCATCATATTAGTTGTATCTGGTAAAAGCAAAAAACACACAAAAAAAAAAAAGAAAAAAGAAAAACAAGAAACAAAGAAAAAAGAAAAATGAAGAAAAAATATTTGCATAGATATTAATTTTTTGACATAACACGTGGCGATATCGTCTTCCGAGAAGTTAATGCTCCGACCACTGGTTGAATGTACTATGGTATTTCCGAAGGCAATGTTTTAGTGAATACCAACGCTGTCTGTTCACTATGGTAACTATAATTACCAATGCCTTTACCATCGTAAATACGTTAGCGAATAAGGCCCCAGGCCTGCGGTCCTCATCTCGTCCATTACATTGAAGGCTGGTTTTGTATACATGATTAGGGAACTTTTCTTGTTTCTCTTTCTGACCGATGTTGGTGTGTGTGATTGAATTATGTTTAGGTTCCTTTAGTCGTATCTAGTCTTCGTAATATGATATGCATTAATCCTTTTACCACTTTTTTCACTACAGTTTAAGGTACTTTTAAGACAGGTAGCACAACACTTTAATGAAAATCATATTTGGCAACTACTGTGTTAAGTCCCCGTGTCTTTGCTGTTGTTTATTTATTTATTTTTTAGATGTCAACGATTTGACTTTTTCCTGTTTTTTTTTTATTATTATATAGCCAGTTGCCTATTTACAAAAGGAAATAATATTAATAATACTGATAATAATGATAATAAAAATAAAACCGCACAAATTCGCTGGATGAAAATCGTATTACTAAATGACGTCATCCCTTTTAGCCAATGAGGATACACCGTGAGATATCAGATATAGGTAGACACATAATCATTTGGATATGATAATCAATATGGTTTTAATAACCAGAAGTAATGCAAAAATAAAACTTTTTTTCTTTATGATAATGAGGCGTTCCATACCACAAACATCCATGGAAATATTCTAGGTATAGTTTTTTATTATCATTATTATTTTCAGACCAACAGACCAAATGGCAATGGTGCTACCTCTTCTTTAAATACCTTGCTCCTAATTAATACGAACCTTTTGTCCTTTGTGTCTATATTCAGCATCCCACCTCACTGATTCCTATTATGTATGACATTTCTTCTTCTTTCTCTCTCTCTTTTTTTTTTCTTTATATACTGTATTCTCGCGTGTTCTTGTTTTATAAATATATTGATATTTTCAGAGGCTTACTACTAAATCTGTTAGTAACCAGATCGTTCTACTGAATACTGATAAACTGTCTCTGTATATCATATTACCTAATTCTCTGTCTGCCTGCCCATCCACCCAAGCTAACAAGCAAACAAGCAAGCAAGTACCCATCCATCCATCCACACACCCATCCATCCATCCATCCATCCATCCATCCATCCACCCACCCATCCATCCACCACCATCCATCCATCCACCCACCCACCCATCCATCCATCCATCCCCCACCCACCCATCCATCCATCCACACCATCCATCCATCCATCCATTCATCCATCCACCCACCCACCCACCCATCCATCCATCCATCCATCCATCCATCCATCCATCCACCCACCCATCCATCCACACACCCATCCATCTACATATATGTATCTTTACCCTTGTCTATTGCCATATCATATGCTTACCGGGTATGCCTCTCACGAAAATCTCGCCAATATGTCTCCTTAAGCCCTCTCCTCTTCCCTTCAGTCGACAGCGTGACCTGCATTTCTGGAGGCACAGACAGGGTTCTTGCTCAGTACGAATTCGCGACCCAGGATTGCGGGTTCAACATGCGGAACACGAACTGGAAGGTCAACGTCCTGTGGAACAATAACACATGTAGGTCCTCTTGCTTCACTCGGCGGTGGGTATGGTTGGTTTGATGAGCTCTGTTTATCTTAGCCAAACATGGGTGAATGTGCGTATACTTATGAATGTAAATACATTTTTATATGTATCTATGTGTGTGTGTGTGTGTGAGAGAGAGAGAGAGAGAGAGAGAGAGAGAGAGAGAGAGAGAGAGAGAGAGAGAGAGAGAGAGAGAAGAGAGAGAGAGAGAGAGAGAGAGAGCGTGTGCGTGCGTGCATGCATGTATCTTTTTTATCCAACTATCCATCCATCTACCTATCTCTATCGCCGTATAAATCTGCCCAGGGTCGCAATCCACCTCCGACGACTCCAGCCCCGCAACTGGCAGCTTCACCGTGCCGGGCCTGGAACCTTTCTCGCAGGTGGAGGTGTGCATGAGCGTGCCAGGCAGGGACGAGGAAAAGGCCTGCTGCTCCGCTACCACAGACGAAGCTGGTAAGGAGTCGCTTGCTGACCAAAGCTGTTCGTTTATCGTTATTATTTCCATTATTACTTGTGTGTGTGTGTGTCTGTGTATGTGTGTGTGTGCATGTGTGTGCGTGTGCGTGTGCGTGTGCGTGTGCGTGTGCGTGTGCGTGTGCGTGTGCGTGTGCGTGTGTGCGTGTGTATGTGTGTGTGCGTGTGCGTGTGCGTGTATGTGTGTGTGTGTGTGTGTGTGTGTGTGTGTGTGTGTGTGTGTGTGTGTGTGTGTGTGTGTGTGTGTTGTTTATTTGTCCATTTAAGTATTATGTGTATATACTTTCTTTTCAGGGGGATGAGGGGTCATTTGTGACACGATGTGCACATAGTTGATACATGATAGTAAATTGGTAAAAAAACAAAAGGTCTCACTTAAAATGTGCATCTTTGACTCTATTTAACAGTGAAATATGAAGCGTTCCAGGCATGCTTAATGGGGAAGAGTATTTTTATATCATTTTGATTTTGTTTTTCTTTTTCCTTTTCTTTCTTATTCTGTGTCGTCTCTCTCCTCTCTTCTTCTTTGCTTTACCTCCATCCTTAAATTTTCCTTGTCCTCTGTCCTTCTTTTCCTATTTTACTCGCCCCTTTCTTTCTCCTTTCTTCACCCTTTCCCCTCTTTCAAATCCCTCCTTCTAAATTCGTCTTCCTTCCTCCCTTCTCTCTTCTTTATCCTCTATCTTCCTCCTTTCTCACTTCTTTCGTCCTTGTCTTACATCTCCCTCCTTTCGCCCTTCTCATTCCTTGCCTCCCTCTTTTCTTCACTTATTCATTCTTTGCTTCTTCCTTCCCTCTTCCCCCATTCTCCTTCCTTCTCTCCCTACCTTCTTCACATCTTCCTTCTCCCTCCCTTCTTTTCTGTTCCTTCTTCCTTCTCTCTCCCTTCTCCATCCTTCACCCTTTCTTGTTTCTCCTTCCTTCCCTTCTTCCATCTTTCCTGCTCCTCCTTCCTTCCTTTTTTTTCTGTTCCCCCTTCCTTCTCTCTCCCCTCGACTCCCCTTCCTTCCTTTCTGTTCCTCCTTCCTTTCTCTCTCTTCTTCCCCTTGCTTCCTTTCTGTTTCTCCTTCCTTCCTTTCCCCCTTCTTTCCTTTCTGCCCCTCCTTCCTTCTCTCTCCCTTTTCCCCCTCCCTTCCTTTCTGTTCCTCCTTCCATCTCCCTCCTCCCTTCCTTTCTCTTCCTCCTTCCTTCTCCCCCCCCCCTTCCTTCCTTTCTATTCCTCCTTCCTCCTCCCTCCTTTCGTCCTCGTCCCCATAGTTCCGGACGAGCCGAGTGAGGTGATCGTATCCAAAGTCACCAACACAACCGCCCATATCTCCTGGACGATGCCCCTTCACGTGAACGGCGCCATCAAGTCGTGGGAAGTGACCCTGCGAGGAGATACCGACAATGAGGAGACAGAGAACGACGTTGAGGGGGAGATGATGTTCTTCGACGCTACTGACCTCACTCCTTCTACGAATTACGAGGTTACAGTGAAGGTTAGTTAGCGCGGTGACGGGGTGGGGTCATGCGGAAGATCGTGTCGATAGGTTATGTTCTTGATTTTTTTTTTTGGTCTTCGTTGGTCTTTTCTAGCGCTGTTGGGGCTCTGATAGTGATGGCGATCGATCATAACAGCTGATTATATATGGCATGAACACATTAGTATTGTTTCCAAGTCAGTCTCTCTCCCTCTCTCTCTATCACACACACACATGCACGCACGCTCGCTACACTATCATTGTATTGGCCTTCACATCTCAGGAAGTGACCCAGTAGCATCTTTAAATCTTGACCTCAGAAACTGCCCCAGCTGACGCGCATAACAACTTTAGGGGCGGAGATATTATTAAACTTGCCAAGGCCATTTTTAACATTAAAGAGAGATGCCAATAAATCAGGTTTTGCAGAGAGGCCGGTTGGAAGGAAGGGCCGCCAGAGAGATTTCTACTTGACACTACATTCTTTGTGTCGTGCATAAGGGCCCGCTGGAGAGGTTTCCACTTAACACTTCACCTGCTTTGTGTCACTTACCTTTCTTCAGTCGTTTAACACGAGTTAATGAACTAATAAAAGGCATCCATTTAAAACTGTCACTCCAGAAAAAAGGGCTTATTCTACTTTTATTTGTGATGTCCATTTGCTAACCTTTATGTGTACTTTCACATATGGCTATATGTACAAATTAAATAGAGAAAGGATGAAAATTCATTGAAGAAAACAACAACAACAACGAGATGTGTAAAAGGAGGTTGAATGATTCGGCTCCGTTGGTAATGATAGAAAAAAATCTGAATTCTTACGATATTGATTTAGGTTTTCTTACAAATGATGCTCCTGCGCTGAGGATAAGAAGATCAACAATAAAAGTTTTTAATGTTTTTTCTTCAGTGAAATAATATCTAGAGTTAAGTTCTAAAATTGGTTGTTCAAAAGTTACGATACCTTGTTTCTAACGTCTATCATTCGGTTCAGTTATCTATTTCTATTTGTAATAATAGCTTTTGGGGGTGGTAGGGCAAGATTTTAGCCTATTCACTCACCAAATATGATAATCACAAATAACAACAGCAACTTCTACTAATTATTGTTAAAGTCTTATCCACTTCCTCACAAAAATACCCTTTAGCCAGTAGCAGTTCCCTCTCCTCACAGATTCATTGCCTTTACAGTGCCAAACAGGAGGAGGTCTGAGTAAAGGGACACGCAGAAGCTTCAAAACACTCAACGCAGACAACACCGGCGACAACCAACCTAACATCGGACTTATCATCGGCTTGTCAGTAGGAGGAGGAATAATTGTGCTGCTGCTGGGGGTCGCAAGCATCGTCTCTTTCCTGAGGCAGAAGAAGAGGAGGAGGAGCGAGCAGGCGAAGGAGGAAGATCATCCGCAGTCGCATTATAACAATGGGTTCGGTCCAACTAAAGCGCAGTGAGTGTGGGCCGTCTTCAGTATGTGCAAGGGATGTGTATCCGGATGCATATTACACACACACACACACACACACACACACACACACACACACACACACACACACACACACACACACACACACACATATATATATATATATATATATATATATATATTATATATATTTATATATATATTTCTATATTTATATGTGTGCATATATATAAATTTATATGTAATTATATATAAACACATATATGTATGCATGTACGCATGTATGTATGTTTGTTAGTATGTTGCATTCTGCATGCATACATGTATGTCCTGATGCACGTATGTTTGAATATGAATCGATTTTTCATCATATACTCCTTGAAGGGGCTTAGGATTGCTCCTTCATAAAACTCAAAAGCATTTAAAAGTATGTCTAAAAGTCCATTTCATATAAATGCTACATTTTACTAATTTGTGGCGTGTACCTTTTAATGCTGAGCCTA